GTGTAGTCGAAGTAAAACGACACTTTATCCTACGATTACGCCACGTGGCGCATCGCGATTCGAGCACGTAGGAGGAACGGCACGGAGAAAGAGAGAGCCTGGTCTCGTGGGATTCTTCTTGATACGTTGATGGACGGTACCTGTGGACCCCACGTTTGCGATATTTTCATTTTTTTATACAGAATCTTCTCACCGTTGATTTTCGCTTTTTTATTTTATTTTCTTTCTGTTTTTGTCTTTTTGTTTTGATATTTTTGTGCTTCTTTCTCTTGTAATTTTTTCTTTGGTCGACATGTTTTTTTCTTCTTCTTCTTGTATTCACAAACCACGAATCACAAAAGATTTTTATTTTATGTATCTTTCTATTCTTGTACTGTCCAAAGCCCCACTTGTTTCAATCATGCACTTATATGGTTTTCTTGTGTGGTGAGCTTAATTTACACATTGTGAACAAAATAGAGGCAAAAGGATAATTTCTTTTTTTTCCGCAAAAGGATAATTTTGCATAAGGTTATGATCTTTGCAACAAACCAACAAGTATAATGGTGATGAAAAGAAAAAGAAAAAAAATTGTGCAATTGATGTTAGATTAGATGCATGCCTGCATGGTGTTTTCTGTGTATGTGTTTTGTTTATGTTACAAACTTATTTTTACTCTACATTTTTTTATAAACGGTACCAACTTAATTAAACCGAGCAGAACCACTAATCCGAATCCAAAATCTTGCTATTATTGCTACTTAACATGTCTATAGATGATCAAATAGAGAAAGTAAAACTACCTACATGTTTAAAAGGATTCGTTCCATGACTTCTTGAACCAATAAGCAGAACCACTAATCCAGGATGCCATCAAACCATAAACCACTTATCCAACTGATTTGACAAGCTGCACTAAAACTGAAATATGAGCATGACCTATCAATTTGTATACAAATAAGAAATTGAATGGTTATAAAACCTTTCAGAATATACAAAGTTTAAGAAAAAACATTTAAAAATGTTTGCATTACTGATGAATTAAATTTTTCATTAATTTTATTCTTAACAAATTTGTTATATAACAAAGTTACTTTCAATGATGAAAATGCAAAGTATCGTTAGACAAGTGGTTTGAGCCCACATTTGCATCTTAGGGTGGTATTCAATTAAAAAATTTAATTGATTTTGAAGGAATTGGATTTTCAAGATAATTCCACTGTTATTCAATTGATTAGAATTTTAATTTCTTAAAATTCATGTGTTATTCAATTGATTAGAATCTTAATTTTTCAAATTTATGTGTTATTCAATTTTTCTGCATCTTTTATTCTTTTATATTTCAAATGAATTTAATAGAATTCTAGAGAGAAAATGTGAAGAGCCAATTCCTACCATTTTTGCTGAGATTTTAATGGAAACTTATTAATTATTCCACAATACTTTAAAATCAATTCTTTTAATACCCCCACGTTCAATACCCCCTCCTTATACACATCAAATCGACTCGCAAAATTCCCTTAGTTGGAGTTAAATAGGCCAATCGCCCCAACCAAAACAAAAACGATAGATGTTGATAATGGTAAAAATAGACCATATTTACCTATTAAAAACGTGATTTGTAGTTCTAAAAAACAACAAATTCAAGTAAACTAGAAAATGTATAAGATGTGAGATATGGTTATGGAAATGAGGAAAAAAAAAATTCCTTTAATCAAATTGTTGAAATTACCATAAGGAAAATAAAATCTAATAGCAATTAATTACAACTCGAAATCAAATATAATTAATTACACCCAGTGGCGTTTACACGAAGAACGATGATCAACAAACAGCTTTCCCCCC